TATTTGACATTTAACATCCTTTATCAAATTTGACATAAACCACGAAATCAATTTTTGTTCAATTTATTTATTTAATGGGCCCATTTTTAGGGAGTATGTTAAAAAAAATGATATAATGACATTGTATTATTTGATAGAAAACATACATCTATGCATACCTGTCCTTCCATTGAAAACCAATACACGACAAGGTCAACATAGTGCTCACGGTTAACCGTTAAAGGCGCAGTAGCTACTTTTTGTGCTTCTGTCTTTGTCTCATCATAGTACTTTTTTTAAATAAAAAACTAACATATTAATCAAATTAAATGAGCATTTTTTTTTTTAAATCAGCAAAAGAAAAAGATCTTTATTGATAAATCATAAGCTTACAATTACAGCAACAATACATGAATGAAAGGTGGGGGCTAGCTCAATCAAGTCTAGCCAAATATAGCAGTGTACAAAATAAAAGCAAGCTCTGTTTCTTCTCTGTTCCAGCAATAAATTCAGTCACAAAAAATTCCATTGCAACACTAAAACATAATAGCAGCAGTGTGTTTGTGCATGCACATAGATAAATGGTAAGATTTAGTCCCAGTGTGTTTGTGCTCTGAAGTACTTTTTTTTGGCATCAACATGAACTTTTGATCTTTATGTAAATTTTTGAAAATAATCTGAGATTGGTTCTAAAGAAATTTCTAAACTTCTTTTATGTAAAAAGGAAACATACCCTAAAAGGCTAAAAAATCTTAAATATTTCTTAGGATGGCCTATATATATTTCTTAGCATGTATCAGGTTGGCAACTAATATATATATTTTTCTCTATTCTCTTTAATTTTTTTTTTTAATTTTCCTCTTGCTGAAAAGGAAGCACATGGACATAATGTTTACAGTTGAAACTACTGCCACAATGCTCCTTACTTCAAATGCTTTGAGGAGCATGGGCTTGGATATTTGTAATTCAATAAAATGTTTTGACTTGTAATGTTTGTATGGAGGTCCTAGACAGCAGAAAATGGATGTCATAATTTGATTTTTGAATGCTATATTATGAAAATGTCTCTTCCTTTCTGTTGTTTCAGTTTGGCTATTAAAGCTTAAGAAGGTGGATGTATGCATGTTCATGTTAGTTTCAAGTAAATACTGATACATTTTTTATGCAATGCAAAGAAGCCATAGTCATATATTGGAAGCACTAGAGGTCTTTAGTGATATGGGAATGGCTGGTAACTTCCTTCAAGAATTGTGTCTTTAGATTCAACAAAAAAATGGCGTACATAAATGTTGAATTTCCTCTAATCACATTATTAAGCCAATAAAACATTACAAACTATGCATTAAATTCATGAACAACAATTTTCTCAACAAAAACAAAAACAGAACAAACCAATAAAGAAAAGGATAGACACTATTACTCCATTGTGGCATTTTGTCAAATACCTAGCATATATAATGATTCCTCAGTGCTATTCATAATTAGAAGCATGAGATTTCACTTCACTAATTATATTGGTTAAAATATGAATGTCATAGATGATCAAATATATATATTATGTGTGTGTGTGTGTATGTGTGAATATCATAATCAGAATACAGAACATGTTCAAATACCTAGCATATATAATGATTCCTCAGTGCTATTCATAATTAGAAGCATGAGATTTCACTTCACTAATTATATTGGTTAAAATATGAATGTCATAGATGATCAAATATATATATTATGTGTGTGTGTGTATGTGTGAATATCATAATCAGAATACAGAACATGTTCAATCTATTTTCTAAATTATTTTCCCAAATCAAAAGCATTCAACATGTTCACGAAATCCTTCATAATAGAGAAATTTTGGAGATATTAGAAGCAATATAAATGGAATGGCAAGTACCCAAACTTGTTCGAAGACAGTGAAAGCAGAAAAGGAGAATCTGAGAGACAAGAAGAAAGAGAGATGGGTAGAGAGAGAAACTGAGAGACCAGAAGAATGAGAGGGGTAGAGAAAGAGAAACAGAGAGAGCAGACTGACCTTGAAATCACAGTGGTGCTGTAGCTTGACGTCGTCGATACATCGGTGGAGGATGAACAAAGGCGCAATGATACTTCGTGAAAGAAGTGTTGATAGACTATAGGGCACAAAATTGAAATCAAGGAGTTGAACGGTTTTTTGGGATTGATTCTGATATGTTATTCACCAAAAAAAATAATTCGGATAAGCGCGAAATTAGAATTTGTTTGGCGCCTTTATTTTTGCTTGGCTTATTGTAGCGGTTGTGTTCAAACCGTCACTACAAAAAAAATATATGGCAGCGCTTTAAGAAAAAAATGTAGCTAAAAGTTTTATTTGTAATGGCGGTCAACAACCATCACAATAGCCCATTTATAGCAGCATTTTTCGGGCCGCTGCAAAAAAAAAAATGCTGCTAAAACTTGATTTTCTTGTAGTGAAGTAAAACATTTGGCTACTATTTTATTTAGTCGGCAAAACCTACCTTTTAGCTACTAAATTTTAGTTGGTCAGCAAAGGGCCAATGTTTGGCTACTTACTAGTAGCTAATAGTCAATTATATTTTTTTGAAATTATACATTTACCGACCAATGTTTTAGTCGCCAATACTCAAGGAACCGGCAACCAAACCTTTTAGTCGCCAAAAGTGATTTCGTGAAAAAAAAAATTACACTCTGCTCTTGTGGAGATTCAAACCATCAACTTCCCACACTATAAACTTTATACAACACTCTCTTTCCACTACGCCTCCATAACACCATATGATTATATATGCAACATATATTATTTATATACACTACAACAAAAATCACATTTGGCGACTAAATTTTTAGTCGCCAAAGGTCCATTTTTAGTCGCCAAAAGTCACTTTTATACCTTCCCCGACTGATTTTTTTTGTCGCCAGTGTTGTCGCCAATAAATGGTCGCCCAAGGTTTTGGCGACTAAAAACGTTTTAGTCGGCAAAAAGTCAGGTCTTCAGCGACAAAACTTTTAGTCGCCAATACTCAATTCCACTTTTTCAAATTATCCATTTAGCGACAACTATTTTAGTCGCCAATAGGTCATGAATCGCCGACTAAACTCATTAGTCGCCCAAAACAACACATTTGGCGACGAAAAAGTTTAGTCGCTGAAAGCATTTTTCCGAAAAAAAAAATTCAACCTTTGCTACTCCCAGGTTTCGAACCACTAACGTCCCAGCCTCTATAAACCTTTACCAACACTCTACCCACTACGCCACAAGAACATCACATGTATATAATTGCAACATATATTATTTATATAATATATTGACCAATATTAATAGAAAACAATATATATATAAATAATTATTTTTATTTAATATATTTTACGAAAAAAATAAAGTATTTACTAAAAAAAAATAGGGGAGCACTTTTGGCGACTAACCAGAGTAAAATTTTACTCTAGTTCTATCAAATGAAATTAGATCAAAAACAACAAAAATAAATCAAAAAAAAAAAAACAAACAAACAAAAACAAATTAATCAACAAATCAACATATCTAATTGAGAAGAAAAACTTCTAAAACTCGATCAACAATCACAAATCTCAATGAAAAGAATACATGTGTTCAACAACACTCATGCACACAAATATATATATATATACATATATTCTACTGTTCCTCATCCACATCATTCCCAACCTTCTGTTCAACTTCTTTCAATCTCGAAGCTTCAGCCTTCGCATTCAACATCGCCAGCATCTGATCAACAACCTCATCATGTTTCTTCTTCGCTTCTAATTGAGCCATCTTCACCACACTCCGAATCTCCCCCATCTACTCCGAAACCCTAGCTTTCGAATCTCCAACGACATCCTCATTCAATTTCAACAAAATTAAGGATGAGAGTCGATAAATTTATGTAGAAACATCAACAAAAATCGCGAAATGTGAAGAGATTTGAATGATTTGTGAATTTAACATAGCCAGATAGGTATTGAATCGATTGTACCTGGAGATTGTAGAGACGATTCAATAGTTATTCATTTGTGGTTTCTGAGCAGAGTTGTGAAATCAAAAATTTAGGGTTTAGAGACAGAGAGAGAGAGAACGAAGAAGGTAGAAAGATCTAGTTGAGGGGTATAATAGTCTGATAAAATATTTAAATAACGAAATGTATCATTGCTAGTTTCATCAAACTTTTTAATGGTTCGAATTTCACAAGGATAGTACGCCATAAAAAGAAGGGTAGGTTACAAATATACCCCATGAGATTTAATTAAAATACAAATCACTCTCATGGTTTTGAAAATTATATTTTATCTTTTGAGATTTCTAATTTTATAACAAATTGTCTATTTTAATAATAAATCATGAAATCAATTAACAGTTTTTAATGATGTAAGAAATATGTTTCAATTAATAATTTAGTTAATTTTATTATATAGGAGAGTAATTATGAATTTTATTTTTTAAATTAATTTTGTTAATTAAAAAATTATGACAAATGAGTATTTATAATTTTTTAAATCACAAGAAGTAATTTATATTTTAAACAAATTTCAAGAGATGTATTTATAATTTATCCTAAAAAGAATTATCCAAACTATTCTAAATTATATTTTATAATATATATATATATATAAATATATATGGTGATCATTCACAGAAGACTTTCTCTTATTATATAAACACTTAAAATATATGAAAACACACAAAATCATAAAATAATACATATTATTGTACTGTTAATTTAAAGGTGTACAAACAAACCCTCTTTTTTTTTTGACATGTTTAATTTAATATTATTACATTATTAATCTTTCCATTCAATTTTATCATATTCATAATCCATCCAACCTAATTCCTGCAATCAAGCAAACATGGAGAGCAATGGGTCTAAGTCTAGTAGCTTATTGTCTAGGCAATTTACTGCCGTGTTGCAAACGTTGATCGAAGTCTTTCAGATGGCTCTGTTTTATCAAACGTTTCTAATGGTTCAAATTTCACAAGGGCAATAACCATAAAAAGAATTACCCAAACTATTTAGTTACATAAAGCACCCTAAAAAAACATACTCGATTCATTAGAAAAAAAGTAATGGCAAAGTGGGTTAGTGTTCTCTACACTGCCTGTGTGTGGTGGTGCTTCTTCAGCAACACCCCTGCCACTTGCTTGGTGAATGAGACAGATAGATTAGCTTTGATTGCTTTCAAAGCTGCAATTGATCAAGACCCAATTGGGGCCTTGAGATCCTGGAATGATTCAGTACACTACTGTGATTGGAATGGCATTTGGTGCAGTCGTCGACATCCTGATAGAGTCGTGAAGTTGGAACTAAGGTCGCAAGGCCTGGTAGGATTGCTCTCGCCTCATATTGGAAACCTCTCCTTCCTCAAAACCATCGTCCTTCAAAACAATAGCTTCCATGGCCCAATCCCACAAGAGATTAGTCATTTGTTTCGGCTTCGAAACATAACACTCAGCAATAATTCATTTAACGGTGAAATACCCACCAACCTTTCCCGATGCTCAAATCTTGAAATCCTTAACTTGATCGACAACAACTTGACTGGAAACATCCCAGCCGAGCTAGGATCTTTGTCAAAGCTTAGAGGTTTGGGCTTAACTCGTAACAACCTTTTAGCAGGAACCATCCCTCCTTCCCTTGGCAACCTTTCAGTTCTTTCAATACTCTCTTTAAGAGACTGTGGGTTGCAAGGAGATATTCCGAAGGAAATTGCCAAACTTCAAGGCCTCACAATTGTCCAATTATCCGAAAACAGTCTATCTGGTACAATTCCTGCAGGCATTTACAACATCTCTAGTATCTCTGTGTTTGAAATGTTCCATAACCAACTTCATGGATACATCCCTTCTGATATAGGCTTAAGCCTTCCCAATCTCAACAATCTTGTTCTTGCAGAGAATCGGTTTATAGGGCCACTTCCTACTTCATTGTCAAATGCATCCAGACTTCAACAAATAGCCCTCTATCTGAATGATTTTGTGGGGCCAATACCAAGAGATCTTGGAAGGCTTTTAAGCCTCCGATATTTGACCCTTTATCAGAATAGGCTGCAAGATGACCTCAGTTTTATTTCGTCATTAACAAATTGCACGAGTCTACGAAGTATTGACGTGAGCGTCAATCTTCTCAGAGGTCCGATGCCCGAGTCCATAGCTAATTTCTCTTCTACGATTTTCTTCATTGCCATGGTAGACAATCAAATACATGGCAGCATGCCTTCAGGTATTGGGAACCTTCTTAGTCTCGCTGTCTTTGAAATGGCACGGAATCAACTTAGTGGCCCTATTCCTACCACCATTGGAAAACTTTATAACTTGCATAACCTTCTTTTTGACAAAAACAATTTCACACAGCTACCATCTTCAGTGGGGAACTTAACTTCGTTAAATATTCTCATCTTGGGGCAAAACAATATCTATGGAAGCATACCTCCGAGTCTCGGCAATTGTCATAGCTTGTTGGTATTAGATCTTTCTCATAATAATCTCAATGGTTCAATACCCACTGAAATTATGAGACTCTCCTCCATTTCAATTTTGTTTAGCTTAGCTAACAACGGATTGACTGGTGGTCTTCCATCAGACGTTGGGTCTTTGAAAAATCTTGAAGACTTGGATGTGTCCAATAATAGATTATCAGGACCTATCCCAAACTCTCTGAGCAATTGTTTGAGCTTGGAATGGCTTCATTTGGAAGGTAATTCATTTCAAGGAATGATACCTCAAAGCTTGAGAGAGCTAAGGGGTTTACGAGAGTTGGATCTTTCACACAACAATTTATCGGGGTTGATCCCAAGTTATCTAGGTGAGCTCCACTTAGAAAAGTTGAATCTATCTTTTAACAAGCTACATGGGAAAGTTCCAATGAAAGGAGTTTTTCAAAATGGAAGTGCTATTTCAGTGGTTGGTAATAATGATCTATGTGGAGGCATTCCACTCTTGAGTCTTCCTCCTTGCCTGTCCTCAAAGTCCAACAGCAATAAGTTCTCTCACAAGAAGAAGGTCATACTCATCGTGGTTGTTCTTGTGTTATGCTTGACAATGTTGGTTTGCTTATTTTTCATATTCCTTCATCCGCGATGCATTTCAAGAAAAAAAGCCTTTTCCATGCCATCGCTCAAGCACCATCTGTTACGGGTTTCTTATGCGGAGCTTCTCAAAGCCACTGATGGATTTTCTAAGGACAATCTAATTGGTGTTGGAAACTATGGTTCTGTTTACAAAGGAATTCTCAATCAGGTTCAGACAGTAGTGGCAGTGAAAGTGCTCAGTCTCAAGCACAAAGGAGCTTTTAAGAGCTTCATGTCAGAATGCAAAGCACTAAGAAGCATACGGCATAGAAATGTATTGAAAATTTTGAGCGTTTGTTCTAGTATGGATTTCCAAGGTAATGAATTTATGGCTTTGGTATATGAGTTTATGGTCAATGGAAGCTTAGAGAAATGGCTGCATGAAGATGGAGTCCAAAATGAAGGGCAGGAAGAAGAATCCAGCAATCTAAAGTTTATTCATAGGTTAAACATTGCCATAGATGTTGCTTCTGCAATTGAGTATCTTCACTGTCATTGCGATTCGACGATTATTCATGGTGATTTGAAGCCAAGTAATGTTCTCTTGGATGATGAGATGACTGCTCATGTTGGAGACTTTGGGTTAGCAAAAATTATCTCCACTGTTTCAAGTGAGGAGGTTCAGTACCAGAGCAATTCAACTGCAGTAAGGGGAACCATAGGTTATGTTGCTCCAGGTATGGGTTCACTTTTAATCCCCATAATCATGCAACCACAAAAGCGCTGGAATAAACATTACCCTTCCTACAGGCTTACTATATGCTGTGCATTTGTTTTGATATCCTTTTGCTTTAAATGCTCTTTGAAACACAAGCCAATGAATGCTCCCTTATGTGTTGTATAACCTGGTCTTCAAAACATGTCTTTCTCATAACTTCCTAATCAAAATGGGCAATGCCTTTGATAAAACAGTGTTTGTTGGATTGAATTTTCAAGTTGACATTGGACTTGGTTGTTTCAGCTAGTGAAAGTACTGCTTTGAGCTAGGTTGTGAGTTAAGCCTGAAGATTTACAATCAGTTTAATCATTTGCCAGCTTACATCATATATAACAGAGACATAAAAAACATCAATTTCGAGTTTCATCCAGACTATTTTTACTGGTTAGTTTCATATAAGATACGGTATTTTAGGATGATTTGGTGTATCGTCTAGTGTAGAGAGACATTTATTGTTGGGACATTAATTGGTTTGTATTGTTTCAAAATGCGGGCAATAGCCCAATAATATAAATTCACACACATAAAATGGGTGGGAGGCACCCTTGAAAAATCTGACTTTTTTGTAAAAGACTCATGGATTCATTTCCTTGTAGCTTTGTCATATGAGCATTTGCCTATATTTCGCAGGAGTCTGCGAGTATATTCAACCTAAAAAAAAGAAAACCTTTTTTTTCTACGTAAAACTACCAGAATAGGGCCCTAGTTTTTCTAGGCCACTAGTGGTTTGACTAAACAATATCCCGACCATTCATTGAACTTGTACCTGTAAACCACCACAACCTGTTTGTGCTAGACCCATTTATGTTTGATTTGGTCAAAAGACAGTGTTCATTTTTCTAATATAACATATTACATGCAGTTTTCTTGACGTTATGACCTTCCTACCTCACTTGCACAGACCAAAAGAAGAAGAAGAAGAAGAAAATTTGTAATTAATATATGTGAAAAAAAAATGAAAAACATAATAGATGCCCTCAACCATATTGTTTCTTCCAACTACAATTGGGTTATATTTTAAAAATTATTTTAGGATTACAACTTTGTGAATTAATCAGATTTTCAGTTTGCAAACTAAAAGTGTACAAACACATGAATCAATTTGCAGAGTATGCCACGGGCAATAGAGCTTCCCCACTAGCCGATGTGTATAGCTATGGGATTCTTCTCTTGGAGATGTTAACAGGTAAAAAACCTACCGATAATGTATTTACGGATGGTTTAAGTCTTCATAGCTTCGTTGAGAGTGCTTTGCCTGACCAAGTGATGGAGATTGTGGATCCTCGCATTCTTTCAGAAGATGAGCCAATAAGTTGGCTCAAGGACAACCTTGTTTCTGTGTTGAGAATTGGAATTGCGTGTTCTATGGAATCACCAAGAGATCGAATGCAGATTCAATATGTAGTTAACGAATTGTGTAAGATAAAAAATGCTTACGAAAAGCTGGGTTGAGCAAGGACTAAGAAAACATGACCTCCAAAGGTGTGTCTCCTAACAATGCTATTTGAGAATTGAGCTTTTTGTCTCCTAGACAAAACGTATTTATTACCCCTTTAAAAAAATCTATGTTAGATTTCTCATAAGTTTTTTGTTTTTTTGTTTTTTTTGGTTTCAATTCTGTTTGTGCAGGAAAGACTAGTAAACCAAAGCATTCTTATGACTACCCTATTTTCTCCGAGAGGATGATTGGGGGACTATGTTGCTATGGTCCTCATATTGTCTTCGTCCGCTGAGCATTTGATAAATAACTGCAATTTTAGTTCTTATTTGAATATGTAAAATTTGCTCATGTGGGATCTTTAATTTTAAGTGTGTATGTGTTTTTCCTTATCTTCTTATGATCTTTCTGGTGTAACGTTTTGCGGTTCGCTGAATAACTTGTCATCATTTCATTAGTGTAAAGTCTGGTTTCGCTGGATACCATGCTTCAATTATTGTCTGGTTTTAATTTCTCATCAATTTGAGCGGTTCTTCAGCCACCTAGATGAAAACTTGTTAAGGCCAAAATGCTTTCAATTTTCAGCAAATTTATTAATTGTACCCAAGAAAATAAAGGGAAAAAAAAGCACTCAATTTTCTTGTGGATTTTTCTCACCTTTCTATGATAGATTTTGAATTTAAATTTAGTGTTTATTGTTGTTTTTGGTTTAGTTTTAGAATTATGATTTGAGCATGAAGTTGTAATTTATATGTGGAGTTGTGAGCTGAGTTTTAAAAAAAGAAAATTTGTTTGGCTATAAATTTTGAAAATATATATATATATATATATATTTATTTTGAATTTTTATTAAATTATTTAGACCATTTAATTATTATTTGAATTTAGAACATTAACAAAATTCAATGGAAAAATAAATATGATTTTTAATAAATATTTTGATTTAAGCAATAGAAAGAAGTATATTTTATAAACATTTTAATTTTTTTTTAATATTTTAAACTCAAAACACAACTCCACACTTAAATCATAACCAAACACTTAACTCAAAACTCAATTCAAAAATAATTTTCAAAATTCATGACCAAACACATAACTCAAAACTCCACATCACTTTCAAAACTCTACACTCAAATTGTAACCAAACACATAACTAAAAAATTAAAATATTTAAAAATATATTTATAGAATAAAATAAAATATTTAAAATAAAAAATAAAAATATTTAAAATGAAAATTATATATTTAAAATAAAAAATAAATTTTTTTAATATTTAACAAATATATTTAAAATATTTTAAAAAATACAGCACACAAATGTATGAAATACAATGCACATTAAAATAAATAAATTAATATTTAAAATATAAAATATTTACTTAAAAAAATAAAATTAACAACATTTTTAAATATTTAAAAAAAATAACTTCAAAAAATTTCAAAATACAACTCAAAACTCATTTCAAAACTCATAACCAAACAAATATTTTTCTTTTAAAATTCATATCTCAAAATACCACTCCACATTCAAATCATGATTCTAAAACTAATTTTAAAAAACAAAATACAAATTATTTTTTTGATTTTTTTTTAAATAGTGTTTTAAAAAAAGTTTCGTTTTGAATTTTAAAAAAAGTTTTAAATTATATGTTTAATTATAAATTTTAAAAATAGTTTTTGAATTGAGTTTGATGTGTTTTTCAATTATGTGTTTAGTTATAAGTTTTGAAAAAAAAATTAAATTATTTCTTTTTAGAATTATATTTTCAAAACAAAATCAAACGCCGTCTTCATTTTTATCTCTATGTTTTTCCTCGGCTTTCAATGACATAATATTACTTTCAATAATTTTAATCTTACTTTCAAAATTTTTGAAATCGTCCATATCATCACATTTCAACCAAAAAAAACAATAATAATTAAATAAAATAAAATAAATAAATTAAAAAATTATATTTTAACCCTAAATTATAAAATAAAGATGCAACTTCGTCCTCTCTTCTTTTCTCTCGTCATTGTCTAAATTACCCAAATCCCTCCGCCACCCTCCTCCTCCTCCTCCTTCTCCCTCCTTCGATTGAGAAATTTCATAATGAACACTCTCTTCTCTCTACCTTCGTCTTCCTCTGCTTTTCTTTTCTCTCCCAAAAATCCCCCAAATCAAACAACTTTCCCAAGAAACAAACAAACCCTCCATTTCAAAACCCATCTCTCTGTAAACTCTCTGCTCTCTCCTGAATCTGACCTACCACCACCCCCGGCGATCCAAACCTTCTGGCAGTGGCTCTCCGGCGAAGCTGTCATATCTCCGCCACCCTCCTCCTCCTCCTCCTGAGAAATTTCATAATGACCACTCTCTTCTCTCTACCTTCGTCTTCCTCTGCTTTTCTTTCCTCTCCCAAAAATCCCCCAAATCAAACAACTTTCCCAAGAAACAAACAAACCCTCCATTTCAAAACTCCTTTCTCTGTAAACTCTCTGCTCTCTCCTGCATCTGACCTACCACCACCCCCGGCGATCCAAACCTTCTGGCAGTGGCTCTCCGGCGAAGGTGTCATCTCTTCCAAGTCTCAGGTGAAGCCCGGAATTGTACCTGAAGGTCTGGGACTAGTTGCTACAAAACTACATGGCTCTGGTGGCGCCACCACTCTCATCCCTATCTCACGGCCGCCGCCGCCGCCACCACCACCAACAACCCTTCCGCAGAATCACCCAGAAATCAAATGCCAAAAACTCTATCCATTCAATTTGCATTCCACAATCATCTCTTTTTCCATTTACCCAAGCATCCCCAAAAAACTCTCACACTCCAACTTATACTTCAACCCATCAACTAACCAGGCTTTGCCACGCCGGAAACCTTGTCGAAGCTCTATCCTTGTTGCAACAAAACTTCGATAATGTCTCTGTTGATTCGACTTGAAAAGCCGAGGCATTGAATGTGTTATTGCAAGCATGTGGTCACCACAAAGAAATTGAAATAGGTCGAAAAGTCCACGAGATGCTTCAGAGATCGACCCGATTCAGAGACGACTTTGTTCTCAATACCCGAATCATTACGATGTATTCCATTTGTGGGTCTCCTTCAGATTCTCGATTGGTGTTTGATCAATTACAGAGGAAGAATTTGTATCAGTGGAATGCAATGGTTAGTGGGTACACTAGAAATGAGCTCTGGTTTGAAACAACGTCCACATTCTGGCCTTCTTTGATCGTTGGTTTGTGATTCAGTGATTTGGGCTTGTTTTACTTTCATTATTAGATTAATAGATTTTTCTTTTTCTTTTTCTTTTTTTTTTTTTTTTTTTTTTGGATGGGTTTGAAATTTTTATTGTTTGGTGTATTCAGTGCAAAGGGCTTCTTGATGGTGGCGGTGGTGTGGAAGATGATGACGAAGGAGGATGGAGGAGGAGGGATTTGGGTAATTCAAGGAATGATGAGGGAGAGGAAGAGAGAAGTGAGTTTGAATATATATATACTAGTGGGTGGCACACACGATGTGTGTGCAATTTAAATAAGTAGGAATAAAAAAAAATAATAATGAAATTAATATTATAATGTGTACTTAGCTTAAGTGGTATGAGTCCTTGTACTTAAACTCATGGTCATGGGTTCAAGCTTTGCTCATCTCTTTTTTTTAAAAAAATAAATAATACTGCCACATGGCATGAGGAGAGTAAATAATACTGCCACATGGCATGAGGAGAGTAAAGTTTATGGCATGAGGAGAGTAAATAATACTGCCACATGGCATGAGGAGAGTAAAGTTTCAGGACACCATAAGAGGTGTTCACTTTATAATAGTATAGATAGATATATATATATATATATTTTTAATTTGGGATCAAAATGTATATTTTTTATTTTTTTTAAAATTTCTGTTTAAATGAGATAGTAGGAGATAAATTAATATGAATTCAAAAATTTTAAAGGTAAAATTAAAATTATTAAAAATCTATGAATACCATTAAAAATCATGGCAAAACATAAAAGTAAAATTTAGGTATGATATATTTGTTTAGTTTAGCCCTTCTATTCATCAAGTGTGCAAGCATCGGTGTGTTTGATTGGGAGGATAAGGTGGGGGGGACTATCCACTGTTTGGACTCCATGTCCGGCCTCCCTCCTTATCTGTCGTTTGATTTTTTTTTAGTCCGGCGGACTTCATGTCCGGCCGGACTCCATGTCCCCCATATGGGGGACTATCCTATCCTGGGGGGTGGGATTGTTTTGGGGGGACTAATCACTGTTTGGATTAGATGATGTTTTATTTTAAAATTTTGTTTATGTTTTATTTAATTTCATTGTTTAAATTTAATAGATGTTTTAATAGATGTTTTATTTAAACAATTAGATGTTTAATTTCAACAATAAATAATTTCATTTATTTAAATTATGTTTTATTTAAACATTTAAATATTTGTACATCAACATGTTTATTAAATTATTTCAACATCTGTACATCAACATGTATATTTATTTAACATCTATTAAATTATGTTTTAATACGTTAACATTTTATTACATTTACATTTGTTAATTGTTAATTACATCAACATTTGTTAATTGTTTAAACATAATCTGTACATCAACATTTATTTAATTGTTAATTGTTTAAACATAATCTGTACATCAAAATAATTTCATATGTTTAATTTCAACAATAAATTTTTATTTGTTTAAATAAAAATAATCTGTACCAGTCAAAAAATTTTATCAATATTAGTATGTTTAAATATCTTTAAACAAAATTTAACCATTAGTATGTTTAATGTTTACTAAAAATAATTAAAATATTAAAGATATGTTTAATATTGCTATTACATAGTAAACAATTGAAAAAGGGTAAAATAGTCTTTTGTTCATTTATTCTATCCAGTCCGTCCAACCAAACGTTGGATTCACTGAAAATAGTCCTATCCAGACATCTAATCCCATGAAAAAACAAACACAGGATACATATCCAATCCGACCAAATAGTCCGGGGGATTCACAGTCCCATGACTCAAGTCCGATGGATTCTAATCCCCCATTTTCCAGTCCGTCCAATCAAACACACCCTAAGATTAGGAGGGGGGACTATCCACTATTTGGATTGTAATCCAAACAGTGCACCTTATCCGTCGTTTGATTTTTTTTAGTCCGGCGGACACTCAAGTCCGATGGATTCTAATCCCCTCTTTTCCAGTCCGTCCAATCAAACACACCCTATTAGTTGTAAATATTTGTGAGTATATCTTTTTAGATAACTAGTAACCGACACAACACTAAGTAAACTTGTAAAATATTTAGATTTTGCTTTAATTATAGTTATATCATCAAGATTATCTACAAATACTCTTTCAAAATACTCATAAATAGTACTAGACGTGCCCTTAGATGACGATGATATTGTCGGAAGAGGGTCGTGAGGCATAGTAGAAGGAGAATTAACACATTCATGTTGTATATATTCATCAATATCGACAAAAATATTAGGA